GGCTGCTCAGCTTGGGCTGACTCGAACCGCTGTTGCTCAGAGCTCAAACTCTTGAGCGAGCTCTTAACCAACTGAGCCACTCAGCCGGCCCTCCTCTCATACATTTTATATGTGTTAGTAACATTATTTTTACATATTAAGGGGTTACAAAATTTGCATTCTGCTCTGAATCTGTAATATCCATAGTTATGTATAATTTGTTATAAAATATATAATAGAGTAAATGATAAGCAAATATCTCATTTTTAGTTTTATCATATACATTTATATATTGAGTGTCTGGTCCAGGAAATTCAAACATGACAGTAATCCTCTTACAAATGAGTAAGGCCTTAATAAAAAAAAAAATGAGAAAAGACTAGTTTTACCATTGCAGAGAAAAATAATTAACCTCATTAGTAGTTCAATAAAAAAGGTTTAAAAAAGGAACTATACTGTGTGTGCATATGCACACACATGCAGGCATGCTTTTTTTTATTAGTTTCAGGTGTACAAAACAATGTAATAGACACCCCTCACAAGTGATAACCCCTCTCCCCCAATCTATTGCTCCTTTGACATTGTATATGGCTGTTACAATTCCATTGACTGTATTCCCTATACTGTACTCCACATCCCATGACAATACATATATATTAAATTATAGTTGACATACAATATTATTCAGCTTCAGGTGTACAGTGCAGTGGTCAGGCATCTACACGGTCCATGAAGTGGTTTCCCTAATAAGACGTGCAAGCAAATATCTTTTGACAATGGCCTTTCTGTCCTTGAGTTTAATTTTTATTAATTATTTTCTTAGGTGAATTTTATTTTCCATTAATTTTTTCTTTTAATCAAGAAAGAGTCTTATAATGCCTGTGGTCTCTTAATTTCTTACATGTCTGAGAAACTGTTTTCTTTCCATTCAAAAATAAATTTAACAATATAAAATCCTGGGACTATAGAACCTTCACAACTTTGCAGATGGTGCTCCACGGTTTCTGGAATTGCGTTTTCCTGCAGAAAAATTTCTGGCCAACCAGATGTCTTTGTCTGCATACAAGTGATATAGCCTTTTCTACTCAAATACTCATATTAATCTTTCTTTTGTCCTTGAATGAAATATATTCACTATATTTTAAAGTATATATTATACATATTGGATTTTTTATATCTCCTTTTATATTTTTAATAATATTTATAATTCTTTATTATTTCATTGTATATGATTTGTTTTTTATTCTGTCCCATCAATCCCTGAACATTTATTATAGTATTTGGTGTTCATTCTCCAAATGGCTTTCGCCTCTGTGATGTTTTTAAATTTTTTTCTCTTCCCTTTCTTTTGGTTGTCTTTTAAGTTCTTTGAGCTGTATTTAGAGACTTCATGTCTATAATTTTTTTGAGCCTATGTCTGATTCCTCCAGTTTCTCTGAATAATTGATTTTGAGCTACATATTCTTCATGTGTTTTTTGCCTGCCTTTTTCTTTTAAAAAAATTAATCTCAAATCGATGCATTTCACTGTCATTTCATCTCTTTCCAGTCCACTCCCTCTACTCTTCCGACTCCCAACTCTCCTTCAGCCCCATACACACTTTCAATGAATTATTCCATTCGATCTGACCACCATTTAGCTTTCCCTCTTCTTGATGCGCACAGTCCCTTCATTATTTCGCTAAAATTCCCTGGCAGTTCATTATAATCACCCCACATACCCTGGACTCTTCTGCCTTACTTGATTCATCATGTTGGCTTAGAAAACTCTCAACTTTGGTTAAATTTAAATTACCCTATTTTGTACCTGCAGTTGTGCATCTGAACACAACTGGCAAAAATTCATAGCTATGCTGGTTTCACTTTAATTTATAACCACAATTTTCAAGTAGTTATGTAATCTTATCAGGCAATTATATTCTGGATTTTTATTCTGCTTACTGTTGAACTCTGCAGGTGATTATCTCAAAACTTTTCATTTTTTCTTGAGCCCCCCCCCCCGTACCTCTACCCTCATGCTCTTAGCTGATAATCTTGAATTCTATTTCACCGAAAAGATTAAATCCATAAAAAAAAAACAACTCCCCCTACCATACACTGTACCTATCAGCACGCACTCTCTCCTACTCTTTCTTTCCACTGAAGCCTCCGTGCTCCCACTGCACCCCTATTGCTCTAGTGTAGACACTGGTCAAGAATAAGCAGAAGCAATTTTCCGTTTTTCTTCTCTGTAATCCATTGTATTTCTACCGCCATTATTTCTCAGGTATCATTTTTTCAAAAACTGAAAACTTTTTCTTGACTCCACTTCCACCACACTCCATCTGTGGGCTTTCCTTACAGTGGACTCCTTGCAGGATTTGTCTGTACTCAGTTTCTTCAAGTCTTCTCTGTCCATTTTTTCTTAAATCTCTCTAATCACTTTATTTCCCCCTTCTCTTTGTAAAAACATTTGTTTTGAGGTTATTAATAACCTTCACATTGCTGTGTTCACCAGTCAGAGTCTAGGTCTGCACATCCCTTCCTCTGTGTTTCCCTTACTGGCTGTGACGTTTCAAAGTTCTTTGCCATTTTTTTTTTCCTTCCCCTGTACTTCTATACTTTTAATGTTGGAGTGCCCCAGACACAGGCCTTGGTCTTTTTCCCCTTTCTATTCTCACTCATTCTCTGATGAACTCATCAGTCTCTGAGCTCATGTGACTTTGAGAACCATCTAAACCTGACCCCAGCTGAACTTAACTCCAGCCCAGGTCTCCCTCCCAAACTCTAGACTCATACATTCTATGGTCTACTTGACATCTGCACTGGGATACCTAATTGATGGCTTAAATTCAGCACTGCCAAAACTAAACTCCTGGCTTCCTACATTATACTTGTTGAGCACCATCTCAGTTGATGACAACAACATCCTTTCATATGCTCTGACTGTAAACTTTGAAATTATCCTTTATTCCTCTCCTTGCTACTCATTTTCAATATGTCAGCAACTGTTGGCTCTTTCAACTTATCTCCAGAATCCAGCCACTTCTCACTATCTGAACTACCACTGCCTTTGCCTGAACCGCCATTACCCATGTTTTTGTGCATGGACTACTGAAGTAGCTTCTAACAGGTCTTCCTTCATTTACCTTTGCCCTCAACAGTCTATTTTCAACAGAGAAACCAGGGTGTTTCTTTTATAACATTAGTCAGATCTTGTTACTCCTTTGCTCAGAACCCTCCAATACT